CTAAACATGAGGAGGAACTTCTTTACTCTGAGGGTGGCTGAGCACTGGAACAGGCTGCCCAGGGAGGTGGTGGAGTCTCCATCTCTGGAGACATTCAAAACCCACCTGGACAAGTTCCTGTGCAACCTGCTCTGGGTGGACCTGCTTTGGCAGGGGGTTTGGACGAGATGATCTCCAGAGGTTCCTTCCAACCCCATATCATTCTGTGATTCTGTGAGAATTACACTCTACTCCTTATTTTAAGAATAGACCTTTATTTTGTTATTTTCTTGTCTGTCTTAAAGATCTTGTTTGTCTTTAAAGATCAAAATAAAATATACACACTAAGTAACCTTATTTTCAGTGTAGAATTTCACTGCACTTATGTATAACAACATAAAAATAAAAAAGTTCTTAAATCATCTGCATTAATATAGTAACTTGCATATCTGAAATACAACACAATTATCTAGTTTCATCATTCAAATTTTACTCTTTTATCTTAATGTTACCCCAGACTTCTATTTTTGTACATTTAGATACAGAAATTGCATATAAGGAGATAGAAAACTTCTGGAAATATTTCATTTCCCTCCCCTTCCAAAGAAATGGTGTCTGAAATTCATTCAAACATACTTGTTCTCCAAAAGAATAATTTACACTTTTGAAGTACCCTAAAACCTGATTATTCTAAATTGCTTTATGAACTCATTTTAAAAATGGCACTGAAATGCAAAAGAAAAGAAGGGAGAAATAAATATCTACAATAGCTCTAGTCTGCCTTCAAATTAGTTTATCCAGGATTTTCCTGTATGCTTAATCATTTAGTATTTGAAAATCTATCCTGCATACTTTTCTGTGGGAAAGATTCTGCATAGTGTCTAGAGTCTACTGGCCCAACACACTGAAAATACAGAGCAAAGAATTTTTAGCTTATTGCATTCCTTTCACAGATCACAGACATGTTAGTGACTCTAACGATTACATCCCACGGACATCCAATCCCTAAAAAGACAACTTGTTCTTTCCAGAGTGAGTTGGAAGATCATTTCACATAGCTCAATAAAGACAAATATTTGCCATAGGGCTGCAGTTTATGCAGAGGTTTCGCAGTTGTTCACAGTGGACTTTCCAGTACAAGTATCAGAACAAAGCCAGAAGAAAAATTAAAATCAGTATAGGCTCTAAAAACAACATTCTTCTCTTTTCAAAAATGTTAAATTATATGTAAGCTAAGTGCTACCACAGTTTAGTCTTAAATAATTCGTACAAACCACTTGATTGCAACAGTAAATGAAGTGATGTAATGCTCCAAGTTTCACCAGATTTTAAATTATATATCCTATTAGAAGAAAGGTTACTATTCTGGACATTGTATTAGCTCTTCTTTCAGCAGTGTAAATAAAAACTGAGGTCCACTCATGACAATTTCAGTGTCATTTTGAAAGCTGTTTGTTCATATGCATATGAAAGGGTCATAATTAATTTTCAATTTTGAACTTTTTCAGCCAATGGTGAACATAACTAAAAGTATTTGAAAATATAGCATAAATTAATATTCCATTTATTTCAACTTTGACAATGCAGCACCATTTATAGGTAGTTGTGTTACCAGTAGCAATTCCACTCTGCCTAGAAATTAACTGAAAATGAGCATAAATATTTCCTTTTGCTTAAATAGCCATCAAGGTGTATTATCAGATTTTAGACATTCTCAGACATTGAAAATACTAATGGCTTTATTTCCTTTCTGTAGCTCTTCCAAACACAGCTGATCTCCATGTTTTTCCCCCTAATGCAGTCCCTGAACTTCAACCTGTGATTATCCTCTTCACAGATTTTCTGAAATTTCTGGATTTCTTTGTGAGATCAGGCATTTCTTTAGACATCATCAGCGCCATTTATTGCACACCAAAGCTATAAAATTTACATAAAATATTTGATAAAAGAGGTCTTCTATTACTTAAATACCTATCCAAAAAGCAAACCAGAAAATTTAAAATTCAGATTTGAACTTTAGCAAACAACACTTCCACAGTCTGATTCAGCAATTCTCTCTAACAAAGCTGACTCTTCATCAAGTCACAAAACTATAGATGCAGGTTTGAAAATGAATAGACACAAATCACTCACATCAAGTCACGCACTAAGTAATTATGCAGTGTTCACCTTTAAACCTTTCTTCCTTCAGTTTCTTACCACTTGTGAAATGATTGATGTCTTCTCCCATCCAAATAGGACAGTGGAAAGAATATTTTCCTCATGTAAATAGATTTATGTAGATATTAGAAATGGAGTAAATGTTGTTTAGGTTAGGAGTCAGCTTGAAATTAAAATGAAATTCAGCTGTAACTGTAAAGAGTTCCACAGCACAAGTTAAAAGAGTAAAGATAAACTGACGTATTAAAATTGATGAGCGTTTTTTTAAAAAAGAAACTGGAACTAATAATAGCAAAATTGTGTATTTATCATGAATACTCATAGGCAAAAGACATCATATTTGCATAATGCAGTACTGAGACAACATTAAACAAAGGCCAATATATCTATTCTTCAGTGCATCCTATGTCCTTCATAGGAAATTACAAGCTAGTATAGAATACATAATAGCACCTCAATGTTCATCGCATCAGACCAGAGGAATGATGCCGTGCAGCTCTCCAACAAATCACAGCTAAGCAACACTGTTTAAAATTAGATTTTCCATGAGCAATCCACATAATAATTTTTTTTCACGCCATGAATCTATTGAAGAGATTTTAATCTCCACGCGGATACTCCACAATTCACAGTCACAAACTATGTCCTCAATGTTACCGATTAGAATAACAAAGAAACAGAAGGGTGAGGAAAAGACCCTTTCGCAGCTTGGGTCTGTGAGAATCCTGTACTCTCTTCCTCCCCTCCCAAATCTCCCCTCCTCCTCTCCAAAAAAATCCCTTTAGGTATCTGTTTGACTGAGTGCAAAAATTGTGAAAGCACAAGTAATTCACACCCTTCAGGTTTCAGGCCCAACCGTCAACTGAAACAGAGAGAGCACTGGGTTCAAGTGCCATCATTTCCCCATATCACAGAGGGGAGAGATATTAAAAAGCTGCCATGGTGCAGCACTCAATTTGAGATCATTTTCAGAAGCTACAAGATTTACCTCTCTGGAGGTACTTCAGGACTGCCAGAGCTGAAAAGCTTCAAAATTCAACTCCCAAGAAAACTCTTGTGCCTGTCACTGGTTGTCACCAGAAGGCCAGGCCCTGTGGGCACCTGCAGCCCTGCCTGACCCTGCCCGGCCTCCCCTGGGGCTTCCCCCACCATCCCCATGGTCCAGGACTCCTTTTAAGTTCAGTCTGGGGTCATCATCCCCTGCCTGGGCTCACTGGGACATGGGGAGCTGGAGACCATCCCTGCCACAGTCTCACTGGGGAAGGGGCTTACGGCCTGGGGGCTGACATGGGGTCCTGGGCCCTGGGCAGGGTGGGGGAGCCCTGGGAGCTGGGTCCTGTTGGTGGCCCCTGGGCCCTGAGATGGCAATCTTGAAAAAAAATGCTCAGTATTTGAGTGGTACAGTCACCTACCCAGGGCTTTAGAAACAAGCAGACTGGGTTTTTTTCAGCAATAATCCTGATTCCCTGGTCTTTTGGCCACTTAACTTTTTTTCTCACTCAGCTGTGCAATTTATAAAATGAGCATAACAGTATCTACTTTTGAAAGAATTAGACACCCCTGGTCATTGTCTTCTCAAAGCAGTAAATATTACTACATTGCAGAACTATGAATGAGGAGCCAAAAAGATAATTTAATTATATTCTGACTTGTTGCGTCATTCATCAGAGATGTACTGCAGATGGAGAAAGACAAAAAACATTTTGTTGTCTTTCCCTTCTCCCTCTCCCAAAATTAATACATTTACAGGTGCTGCTGAAATATAATTTACATTTTTAACCCCCATCTGTGTCATTTGCAGGAGTTATGATAACACTTCAGCAATCCTCTACTCCCATCCCCATGGAAACTGCCATCAAACTGCCAAAAATGGGACAGAATGCTTTAAACTAATCACTTTTCAATGGAGGAAGGCCTTTTTTTTTTTTTTTTCTAAAGCCGTTTCCATGGGATCAGAAGCCATTGCTGGTTGCCTAATTGTTTAAAATCTTGTCAAGTGCACAGGCAAGTGCTCAGCCTTTTTAAATGTGACTTTTCTGTTTTAACTAGGCTTCTAAAGGAGAAGTTGTGAGCCTGATTTTTTTCCTATCCCACTGGTTGTCAGACACCAAAAACTCCTGAACTCAGTAGAGTTTCACCAGTTTGTAACCATCATGGAAGTTCCATCATATAATTTTGGAAGAAAGCTTTCAGTGGGATAAATAAAAGAGATAACCTATATTATTTACCTTCCACAAGGTAGCTCAGCACTGTTGTGAAAAGAAGAACTCCTGGGCTGTTACTTTCAGCCAGCACAGGAAAAAGCTGTGTATTAGCAGACGGAGGCTGCAGTCACAAAGATCCAACAGACTTCCTTTGTAACTTTCTGTTCTCCCCCATGGCACCTTTATATTACTTTCCTAATCTACAAAGAATAAGAAAAATTAGAATATCAGCTTCCATTGAGAAGGAGCGAGAAGTAATATCAACAGGCAACTCTTCTGGCTGCTAAGAATTCAGAAGGCATATTTGCTATTTAGTTCTTTGAATAACTGCTGCAAGGCAAATCTCAGGTACTTCCAGGTTTACAGATTAGCACTGTACTAGGAAATCTCCTTTGGTGTAAACAAGAATTTTCATATGAATAACACCTTCTGAGTCCAGTTTATGTGTTAATGGTAAAGAGTCAGATTTCAAACAAATCTATTAAAATTATATGCCCATGAGAATTTATATGATGGGCTATGTCTCTGCTCTGGTCAGAACATCGAGTTCTGCAAAAATCCAATCATTTAAACTGCTAAAGGCACAGATTATAATTAATTTGGACAATGAGACTAGCCAAGCAGACGAGCATTTAAAAAATTCCAACTATACCCCAGTGTTTTACAAAGAAAATATTCTAGTAAAAGACGTGAATTATACAATAAAACTCCCAAAAGATTAAGTTATTTGGAATCTACAGTCTTCTACTCAGAATTATGACAAAGCAAGGCACTCTTATTAAAACATTTGATAACTTGTGAACAGGTCTGTAGGTATGCAGCAAACTGTATGGTTCCCCCTATCATGAGATTATACTGTCTTTTATTTCAAATGCATGAGAAATAGGATTTGCAAGTAATAAGTATGCAACTAAGTAAATGTCAAGAAAAAACAAAAAGAGGAGAAAAACATCTCATCTTCCCCTTCATGTTCCTGGAAGCATAAAGTAATTAGGTACTCAATTTTTCAGAGCTACTACATAACCCTTAGTGAGACCAGATGCAGTCATTAAAAACATCAGCATCTTACAAGGATGGAAAGAAGAATGAGACCAAAGTGTATAAAATGGTTCAGGTCAACAAATTTTTGAACTTAATGGATATGTGACAGTTTTGTTAAACAGAGTTTTAATTTTGTTTAAGGGCCAAGACCTCCTGAAGAGCAGAAATGGGGTAAAACTTTGCCAGGAGCTCCTTGTTTTGGATCCATTAGGCTTTACAATAGCACACTACTTTCTCCTCTGGATTTTCTGAAACCTTTGCATTGACCTTAAACTAGCAATTATTTCTGGCACAGGACAGGCACTATCCACACGTGAGAGACAAAGTCATTGGAAACAGCCAATTTTGAAAATGGTTTCTTCACATAGCTCAGCATATTCTTATTTATCCTGGTGACTTTAATTGGCAGAACAGTAACTGAGTTAAAACGCCTCTAACCTTGGATTGTTTAGCAACAAAAATCAAATCAACTTCCCCACTGACTCTTTTATAACAAGCTTTATATAGATTTTGTCTCCTGCAAAACCCAAAAACCCTGTTTTAGGAAATGATGGTTGAGAGCTTTTCAGATAAAAGTAAAAGAAAGCCAAAGAAAGCCAGCCATGCTTTCTTCAAATTGATGTTAAATGATCAGATCAATCTTTTCTGGAGATACATGACCACTGGCTATATCAGGCTCTTTATTTGCTTCTCTCAGGTCTTTTCTGGCCTTTCTTTTGAAGTCTTCATATCTTCATTCAGTCTCCTCCCAGACTCGAAATACCATGGCTGACTCTTTAAAAACTGGTCTTTTTTTTCTGGAAAGTGCACAGAAGCTGAGAGAAACTTACGTTCCTGACTTATACTTCAGCTTGCCTCCGGATATTGTTTGTTTAGCCTGTAAAATTCCACACATCCCAATTCTGATGTACAAACTGCACAACAAAAAGCAATGTATTCTTTTTGCTCTCACAACTTACCAGGAAAGGAAAAATAGAACAGCACTACAATCCCGTAGTCAGTATTAAAAGCTGGGTAAATACTACAATATTTACTTTTCAGTTATTTAATACTATTCCATGTTTCTGTGATTCTGGAGAAACTGTTATTGAAGTGAACTGTAAATTGAAATTTTACTCCAGGATTTAGTGTCAGAGGTTTTTCTCTTTATATTTCTTATTATTCATCCGTATTCTCCTAGCAAGAATGCTGGTATTGTTTGCAGAAGTCATTTTTCTGAGTCTCATCACTATGGGTCTTGATATTGTTTTTATTAATTAGTAATCATTATGTATCAGGATCTTGCTTATTTGTTCCATCTAGGAGATAATTCCTGTCCTCAGATGCCACTGGTTTGAATAGGAGTCTCTTGCATACATCCAATTTTTTGTTCTTCCTATTTGTAGGGTTTTGGTTTGGTTTAGTACTTGAAAAAAAAAAAAAAAAAAAAAAAAAAAAAAAATTAAAAAAAAAACCCACTGGGGAAAAAAAAATTGAATGAACGAAATGAAAAACTTTGT